CAAGAGAGGGAACACAAGCAGGGGGAGTGGGAGAGGGAGAAGCAGGCATTAGAGAATGTCTGGATCAGCCCCCAATGTGTGGCTTGATCCCAGGACCCTGGCATCATGACCTGAGCTGAAGGCAGACACTTAACGACTGAGCCACCCAGGCGCCCCAAAGACACTATTTTCTAATGGATGAATTCCAGTACCCCTGTGCTGCATTTCTGTGGAAGAGATTTTCCTGGGCCTTCAAATCACATGTCCCCAGTGTGAAACAGTCCTGCCTCTCTTATCAGGTCAGAGCATCAGCAGGGACACTCAACTCCCAAAGCCTGGCTCATTAATATCACCCCTTGGCTTAGGACTGGCTATGTTGGTCTGAGTAACAATAACAAAAACAGGCCTTTATTTTTTATCATGTGTTATGGGTTACCAAGTACTTTCCCTTATATTGCCTAATCTGGTTCTCAAATCCTATTTTAGCAAAAGCAAGGATTATTAGGCCCATTTGAAGCAGGAGAAAACTGAAAACTTAGGTCTAGGGCCTCAGACATCCAAGCCAGGGCTCTTTCCACTATTCCATGTTGCTTCTCCCACTGCCTGAAATTCTCACCCTCTTTTTTTTTTTTTAAGATTTATTTATTTATTTGAGAGAGAGAGAGCACATAAGCAGGAGGGGCAGAGGGAGAGGAAGAGAATCTCGAACAGACTCCGCACTGAGCACAGAGCCAATGCAGGGCTCCATCTCATAACCCTGAGATCACGATCTGAGCCCAAACCATGAGAGTTGGACACTTAACTGACTAAGTCACCGAGGCGCTCCTCTCACCCTCTTCTAATTGAGAAATAAAATGGCTTTCCATTTGCAAAATGTCCAGAAATCTTTGTCGGAAATCTATTTCCTGCACTCTCAGGAATTTGTGGACTTTGAAGGCATTTTCGAGAATGTCTGGAACAGTCTTTTGGGGTTACCAATGGTTCTTCTCATTCCTTAACTTGATATCCAAACAAACCATCAGCATGTCCTTCAAACCTAATCAGTCCCCATTTCCTTCATGGCTACCACTCTAGCCCCAAACACTATCTTCCCTTGCCTGAATTAGTCTGGAGAATAAGCCCCCCAATAACAAGCACAAACCACCTCCTCTTCCAAGGAGACAGACCCTGGGTGTTGGCTGTAGGAGGCCTGGGTTGGGGAGGAATGAAATGCCTTAATGCTAAGCCAACCAGTTGGGCCACGACTGTCTAAGGGGAATGTGTCCCTTTCAGTCTGACTCCTCTTTTCTCTTAAATGGTTCTTAGGCTCCTAAGTTATCTCTCTGCTTCTATGCCTGCCCTCCTACAATTAATTCTTCACTCAGCAGAAGGTATTACTTTTAAAATATCAAATGAGGTCAACCCCTTACTCAAACCCACCCTCCCCAGGAAAGGTTTCCTTAACACAGCCTTCAAGGCTCTATGTGATCTGGCTCCTGCCTGCCTTGCTGGCCTCATCTCCTAGCCCTCTCTGATTCACCTACTCTGTTCTAGTGCCCTGACTTTGTTGCTGATATTTGAATGTACCAAGCATACTTCCACCTCAGGGTCTTTGCACTGACTGTCCTTCCACCTGACAAGGAAATGTCTTGTTGCAGATATTTGCATGGCTAGCTCCTTCACCTCGTTCAGGTACCTGTTTAAATAGTTCCTCCTTAGAAGAGTATTCCCTAGCCATCGCACTCTGTATCTTGCTTTAATCCTTATCAATTTGGACACATATTAATTAATTATTTGATGTGGTTATGTTTTGTCTCCCTTAGTAGGACTTTGTCTATCTAGTTCACTGCTAAATCATTGACCACTCAAGCAGTGCAGATTCTCAGTACTTATCTGTAGAAAGAATTTGAGTGACTCAATTTTACAGAGGGAGAAACTGAGGTCCAGAGTGGGGAGGGCAGGTCAGTAGCAGAAGCAAGACTCAAGAGCCAGTGTTCATTCTAACAGGCCTGTGAAATGTTCATGCACTGGCCTCCTCCTCCATATTACATAAAAGCCAGATTCTTTTTCTATATACAGTCCTCATTTTGAGAAACAGCATTTTTATATTACAATACAGCCTAGTTTGTCCCTTTACTTCCTCAAACTTAAACTCTTTGATTATCAAGGCTGGAAGGAACCACAAAAATTACCTATCAAGGCTTTTATCTTGCAGGTGAGGAAAGCAATGACCAGAGAGGAAGCTGGATCACGTCAGAACCAGACCTGGAGCCCTGGTGCCTCAACTCCCTGTACAGACACTTTCTACTTCCTTGCCTTGCTTAAGAATGAGCGTCTATATCTGCTCACAATTTTACTGTTTCTCATTAAAATGGGTTTCTGTGTCTCATATTGGCAGGTAGTCACCCCCAAATGTACATTTCGCAGGGTGGTGGGAAATTGTTTCCATGTATCTATCACATGGAAGAGGCCTGGATGCCTTCTATAAACACTTGTATCCTGGTTGCAGGCTGCCCAGCCAGGTATCTCTGGCATCCTAAGAATAGGGGGGAGGGTGAAAGGTTCTAACACGGAGTAACCCCCTTCCTCTGACCTTGCCACTTCCTGGCTGCGTGCCTTTGTGCAAGGCACTTATGCTCTCAGGCCCTCAATTTTCTTCTTTGGGAGAGAGGGCTAGCATGCCCTAATGTGCAGATGAGGAAGTACTTTGTGAACCACAGAGAGCTGCATAAGGATGGGGGGAGGTGATTCCTGGTTACCAAGGTCTGAAATAGCTCCCCAGTACAACCACAAACTTCTCCCCCTCCCAGCCTTTGGAACTTGGGAGAGAAGCCCTGGGGGTTGACTGCTGAGGGCTTAGGTTGGGGAGGTTTGAAGTACCTTTGGGCTGAATCAATCTCTATGCAAAGCTTGGCCATGGGGGTTTTTAAGGAAGAATTCCTGTCCCCTTTCATCCTGGCTTGTCCTCTTCAGTGGTTCTTAGATGCCTAACAATGCAAGGATTATAAAACAAAACCAAACAAAAACAAACCCCAGAAGTCAATCCATCCACAGTCCCAGCACTTCAGCCGGAGTGTGAAGGAAGCAACCCAGACCTCACTATTCCCAAATAAGTATTTAAATAGCTAGACTATTTTTCCTGAGAAGCAGCCAAGAAGGGGGAAGCTGAGGTAGGGAGAGGCTAGAGGCAGAGGCTGGGGTAGATATCAGCCAGGCTGGGTGGGAAGGGAAGTGCAGAGAAGGAGAGAAAGAGCCAGATCAAACCAGACTGAAGTCAGAAAATGAGGGAAGAGAGGGGGAGCTGCAAAGAGGAGTGAGAAAGGGGGTGTAGAGAGAAGACAAAAAGATAGAATAAGAAAGATCCTGAGAGAGAAATTCAGAGAAAAGTTAGGGAAAAGGAGGAAGAGCAAGGACAGAGGAAGAGGATAAGGACATGGGAGGAGAGGAGCAGGAATCTGGGGAGGGGAGGTCAAAGAGATACCAGAGCACAGAGCAAGGGAGTGGGGCTGCTATTTGTTCCTGGGCCGGCTGCTGTTAGAGGAAAACTCCTTTTCCACTCAGTGGGGCTGCCAAGGGCCAAGTATTGGCCAGAGGAGATGTGAGATTATTGGGGGGGGGGGGTGGACAATTGGGCTGATATAACTAGGTTCTGAGTCCCCTGTCAGGGGCCAAGGAGGTTTCAGGATCTGTAGAGAAAATAACAAATAGTTCCTAGGTTGGGTTCTTCTGCCCCAGACTCATTGCTCTCCCAAACTATTCCAACACATGTGAGTGACCTTTTAATGCCCCAGTGTGGTTAGCCTTGTCTGGACCTGCCAAGCCCTGGAAACTTCAGCATTCTTCGCCGTGCATTCTCTCATAGCCTTGGCTTATAGACACAAAAGGAAATGGTGACAATTCTCCAAGCCATTCAGGACACCTCCCAAACCCTCCTGCCTTCCAACATTGTGGTTTTGGTCTAAGTATTGAGAATATGCACAAGATGCATGGCTGGTGACAGGATCGGCCAAGTTCTTTGATTCACTTGGTTTCTGGAGACACAGAATATCTTTTTAGCTTTTTATGAGCTTGAAGGACATACAATGTCAGCCCTGGAAGAGCCAGCAGAGATCATCTTGTCCATGCCAGGGCATTAGCTAGTCTTTCCTTGATAACAAATTTTTTTTTTTTTTTTTTGGTGCGGGGGGAGCTGTTGAAACTCCGATCTGGACACCAAACATCCAACCAGACTACAACCAGAATTCTAGGACAGCATTTCTTAACCTTCCTTTTTATGTGTGTGGGGAGCAGGGGAGTGCTGGATCTAACCAAGAGTCTGTTGATTCTTTTCCCACATAGACACAGAATAGTGGTCACATATGTTCAGGGGGTTCTTGGACTTTTGCATGTCCACAGTGGGGATCCCTGACCTAAAACTTCTCCTACTGGCCAGGAATCTGATAGATACCTTAGAGCTCAGTGAAAAGAACCCTGGTCTTGGAGTGTGGAGATCTTGCCCTAGCTGAAGCTATGCAATATATGGGCCAGAGCATTTCACTACCCATCACTAGACTCAGCAGCTCAACTCTGAGGTTTATAGATGGTTTCTGAGATCACTTTCCAGCTCCAGGTTTCTAGGCACCAAAATGAAGTCAGTCTCACTTTTTAAATATTTGGTATATTTTGTCACAGTAGAAAGGCAGGCAGACCAGAAATCTTGTAGCTGCTGAGAAAGAGGGATGGAGGGTGAGGCTAAGGTACTTTCTCCTCCAGTGTAGGGATAAGTGAAATTCTTTTAGAATCCATCACATCTTAATCCCTGAGACTTTTTTACAGAGATAATGGAGAAAGAAATGATTCACTCCTAACATCCACATTCCAATCTCAAATCCGTTTTTAGAAGAATTATTCTGAATCCCCCCTTCTCACACGCAAATACTTCTGCATTTGTCTGGCCCTCTTAAAATGTTTGATATGATGAGAGACTGAGCTGTCTGGGTACATTTACGTGTCTGCAGCGGTGTGTGATGGAGCATTTGCCTCCTCCGAGGCTGTTTGAGCGTGTGTGTAATTTAGTGTGTGCATGTGCATATGTATGAGTGAAATAATGGAATATGTGTGTGCATAGCAGTGACCGAATATAAAAGATTGTATAGATACTGTGGTATGTGTAAAATCATGTGGGCCTGTGCGGCTGCAGGATTATCATTTTTTTCTTTTTTTAAGTAAACCACTTTGGATTGTGTAGCCTCCTCTTACTTCTGTGATTGATTTCACGAGGGTAATGGTGCGTAAAAGCGCTGGTGAGATCTGGGGGCGCCTCCTAGTCTGACGTCAGAGAGAGAGTTTAAAAAGCGGGGAGCCAGTGGAGAGCACACAAGCCGCTTTAGGCGTCGCGAGTTTCAGAGCTATCGCGGCTGCCTGCGGATCCTCTCCTAGAGTTTGACCCACCGTCGTCTCGCTCGGCTTCCCCGGCACCGCCGAGATGCTGTCCTGCCGCCTCCCGTGCGCGCTGGCCGCGCTGTCCATCGTGCTGGCTCTGGGCGGTGTCACCGGCGCGCCCTCGGATCCCCGACTCCGTCAGTTTCTGCAGAAGTCCCTGGCTGCTGCCGCGGGGAAGCAGGTAAGGAGACTTCCTCGACGTCTTCTTTTCCCTCTCCCGAATCCCTCAGTCTTCTCTTAGCCTTTACCTTACCCCTTTGGGCGGATTTAGGAGGTGCTCCTGAAGACTTTCGGTGCTTTTCTGGGTCCCTCCGCTCCCAAAGCTCTCAGGAAAACTTTCAAAGTCCAGAATCTCCTCTTACCTCTTTTATTTTTTCTGATCAGCGCAGTCGGTCACAGTTCAGGTAAGTTCTTTGGCATTCAAGAAAATCCCAAGACCCGGGTAGCTGAGCACGAAGGGATGAGGCATCCATCCCCCCGTGTTGAACGCGGAGGTGCTGGCCCAGGTGCTGAAAGCGTGGACCTCTGAAGGCTATCTTCCTCAGCAGTACCTCCCTCCCATGCTGCTAAAGGGCACTCTACAGACAGAGCACAGTATGTTTAAGATTGTGAAAGGTCTCGTTCCCCAGAGTTAACTTAGCAAAAACGGTAAGAACAATTCCAGTTTGTAGCTCATTCAGTTTTGTTGGAACTGAATTAAACAAACTGTTGGCACGGTTTTATCTTTGCAAAACTGTATTAACAATCTACTATTTCTGCGTGTATGTGTGTTTTAAGTCTATAGAGGCAGGAAACTTGCAGAAACATTTGAGTTTTTCAAGCCTTTCTCTGTAACTTGGTGATTATAGCAACTACCCTTATTTTTGTATCAACTGATTTTAAGTGTGACAAAAGTGCACAGCTATGAAAATTGGGTTTTGGGTGTAGCTGAATCTGCTTTCCAAATTAGGCTTTTTTCATTTCTTTTTCTCTATCATCGTCATCCTCATCCCCCCCTCTCTCTGTCCTTTCTACCCTATACAGGAACTGGCCAAGTACTTCTTGGCGGAGCTGCTGTCTGAACCCAACCAGACAGAGAATGATGCCCTGGAACCTGAAGATCTGTCCCAGGCTGCTGAGCAGGATGAAATGAGGCTGGAACTGCAGAGATCTGCTAACTCAAACCCTGCCATGGCACCCCGAGAACGCAAAGCTGGCTGCAAGAATTTCTTCTGGAAGACTTTCACATCCTGTTAGCTTTATTAATTATTGTTGTCCATATAAGACCTCTGATTCCTTTCCTCCAAACCTCATCCCTCTTCCCTAATCCCCCAGTCCTCAGCAAGACCCTTGCATTAGAAACTGAAGACTGTAAATACAAAATAAAATTATGGTGAAATTATGAAAAACAAGAATTTGATTTCTCATTGTGTATCTTTTTGTTCAATAATATGGAATTAGCTTCAGTTGTGATTTCAGTAAAGTTACTTGAGATAGGCACTCCAAATCTCACAGACATACATTTAAAATTCCCTGTGGTAATAAAGGTTCTGTCCTAAATGGAAACACTTATAGTTTGGGTCATTTCAATCTGAAATAATTTCATATAACTCTATGAATTCTAACTTAATCCAATGGTAATTATAGGGAAAGGCTGCCACAAATATCAATTACATATTAAATACACTTAAAATTAGATATTGAAATGAATATTTATGGGTAAGTGGGTAAGCAGGCTGAAATGTCCAACTATCCACCAGGCTAATATGTAAAATATATGAAAAATGGAAGGGAAAAATCATTTAGAAGCTGAAGGAAAGAAGCTGGCTTAAATAGCTAAAATGAAGTTCTGAGCCTTTAAAAATTGTTTCTTATTTGTGGACATTTATCTACAAAAACACCACTGCTTTTAGATCTTCCTTGACAATCCTCTCTATAACTGAACAAGGCTAAAAGACTGCCCATGTTTTAAAAGTAAGCTCTTAAATTTTTTTCTCAGGGGAAAATATTACTTTTGTTCTAAGTTTCCAAGTGAGAGTAGTATGGGTTGCAAAAATGTGTGTGGGTTTACTCAGTGAATGCTATACATTAAAGGTATTGGAGCACAATATCATAATTGCAGAATAACTGAAGAAAAGATCTCAAGCCTTTTGATTTGATTAGAGAAAGCATCAAATAAAAATGCAAGCTGTAATAAAAGCACTCAATACATGCTAGCTATTATTATTAACATTATAATGACATACTGAATGGTACTGCTCAAGATAGAGATTAAAACATTGCTAATTTAACTCACAGAGACTCTAAATAGATGTCCCTTCAGGGATGTACGTTTTAACTATCAACTGTATTCCTGAATAGCTGCAATAGAACAATAAACCCAATATAAATACATAAACTCAACATAGATCCCCATAGTGTGAGCTTACTGATGACAGCATACAAACATCCACGAGAGACTTCATATTTTATAGAAAATACTTGTGTTAGATAATATACATTTTAATATGAATGTGGCTTAGTAGAATTAAGTCCTGAACAGCTGATCAAACAAGAGAAAATCCAAGCCACTTCATTAATCTCTGTGAAAACAGAAGACCCTTTCAGGTTCTGGTGCATCTTTTATTTACAAGACATTTAAGAGGGAATTAATGAGTGTCCGGTTAGGGGATCTGTCTGTGTTAAATGCCTTACGTACATCTGGCTACCAGTCAACTCGGTGAAGTAATAGAATCACATTATTATGATTAAAGCACAGAAGAGAACACAACTTAATTGTTTTCTTTGCAGTGCATAGATTGTATGAGGGCCTGGGGATCTTAACTTTTTAGTATCATCTTTAGTTGTCAATTCCCAATAGCAGTATGAAAATAATTGGCAAGAATTATGCAACCATGAGCCCACATATATATTTATTCTTTATTTAAAGCCTAAATTGAATGGAGCATTTGATCAAGGTTAATTATCTTTCAGCCTCGGTTTTCCCACCTTCACAAGTGGAGGGTTGTACTGGGAAGGAGAGACATATCTCTTCTGGATGTGACTGACATTCTGTGCTTCAACACTGACAAAAGGGCCAGAGAGGTACTGAGTTTTTACATTTTAATTAATATATGGGACATAGCTCTTTTTTTTTAATATATGGAAGCTTTTATTTTTTACTTCCTATTTAGTTCATTTGCATTCTTCCTAAGTTTGATTCACTGAAAGAGTCTAACATTCCAGCCTGTTTATCATCTAGCCACAATGAACCATTTAGATTATAATTTCCTTCCTCCCTGCCACAACCACAGACTTCAGCAATCCTCAACAACCTGCTACTTCTAATAATGGGAGGGCTTGAGTAAGGTACTCTTCTTTTCTGGACCTTGGTTTCCCCACCTAAAAATAGGCATACTAATGGAATCAATTCCTTAGAGTTATAAGGATCCAATAGACCATGTATTGAAAGTTCATAGTACATAGTAAGTAGCTGGTAAGCACTGAATGTTAGTGGTGTTAATTTTGTTGTCACTGTGCTATGCTTCCTAGTGCCTCTTTATTTGCCTTTGCTGTGTCTTGTCATTTCCACAGGTCCAAATGTAACCCAACCATCAAGACTTATTTTATATTCTTCTTGCTTCATAAAATTCTTTCTTTATACCCTCAACTGGGATAGCTCCCTTCTCTGAGTACTTAATCTGCCTCTCTTCCATGGTGCTTATTTATCTCTTCCTACCCTTTATCATAGCTGTATGAATGTATGTAAGAGAATAAATATTTGTGTGTAAAGTTCCAGTGAGTAGATGTATGTCTAATTCATAGGTATAGTTCACTCAGTATCTCATAGAGTGTTTTGTACATAGTAGGTTGTCAGTGTTCATTAAAGAATAAATGGTCTATGAGTAGTCTTAAGTGACACAAATCTCTATTTACTAGGTGACAACATTCTTTCTTAATGCTTTAGTTGGCAGGGGAAAGTGACATTCGTGGCTATTCTATGTGATGTTGGTGTGACACCAGAAAGATAAAGCACGTGGTTTTGATTTTAATAGCCATGGTAGCATGTGATTAGCAGACTACCTATTTTGGAAGTTTCAATCAGTTCAGTTTTCTTTAACCATCTTACAAAGTTCCCCAGTAAGGCTGCTTTACTATCGACCAACCATTTACAGAGAAAAGGATTCAGTAATACTTCTTTCACATTTGTTATTTCAAGATCATGCACATTCATTTTTGATCCTAATGCAGGACCAATTTTCTTGGCCTTGGCTCAAACTATTCTCAATATACAGACAACTCTATTTTATGGTGACATAAAATATACCTTTAATTCCAAATGTCAGACATGGAAGAGGGCTCAAAGATCATCAGGTCCTCACTATTCATTTTATTGAAGGCTGACATAAGGAGAGGTGAAGCTATGTACCCAAGATACCCAGGGAGTAACAAAGATGCAGACATGGGCCAGAGATGGGGCAAAGCCTAAATTCCCCCCCTCTTACCTCTTATTCTACTACACTGCCCCTAAGTAATCTGCACTTCTAGATAATTGGTGTGTTTCTGATGTGAATGATAATTTTGTCCCTGAAATTTCTTCACCTTCCACTACACAGCAGGTCTGCATCTGAGAGAGAACAAGGCAATTGATACAAAATAGTTTCCTATAATTATAGAAAGACATAGGAAGAAACAGTTAAAGGTATTGATTAAGAGGAAAGAAAACTCAAAGGAGATAGTGTTTCGCTTAATTAGACACAGGAAGCAAACAATGATTCTGTCTTGGAATGGAGATGCCAAGGCTGTCCCAGCAAATGGCGGGACTCTCACTCACACCAAGGAGAAGGAATTGTGCCTGGAGAGGTAGTCTTCAGAGAAGTCAGGAGCCACACCTACAAGATTAGGCAGCAAATACCTCAGTGACCACCCCAAATTCTTTAAGAGTGAAAATGAGTGCTTTGATTATAGAAGTACAGTTTTTCATTATCTAGAAATGTGCCTCAGAGTCAAGGACTTGCTGGAGACTGGGAGAGAATTTGTATGATGAGGTCCCTGCTTTCAGGAACTGAGTCTAGTAGGTAAGACATAGTCATTAAAAATGACCAAATGCTGAGGTGCCTGGGTGGCTCAGTCGTTAAGCATCTGCCTTTCAGCACAGGTCATGATCCCAGGGTCCTGGGATCGAGCCCCACGTTGGGCTCCCTGCTAAGTGGGAAGCTTGCTTCTCCCTCTCCCGCTCCACCCCTGCTTGTGTTTCCTCTCTAGCTGTCTCTCTCTCTGTCAAACAAATAAATAAAATCTTTAAAAAAAAAAAAAAAAAGACCAAATGCTATAATGGAAGTTCACATAGAGTACTGGGAAAGAAGAGAGGTGTCAACAACTCCCTCTTTTCTTTCTTTAAGTTATTCTTCTTATTAGTTTTTAAATTATGGTTTGAAAGTCTAAATGCTTTTATTCTAGATGGAATAAATAAATTATAGGTATAATGATCTAAGGCACACATTTGCAACATGATCTCAGTTGGCTTTAAAAGTGTTAATACTCTTTAATGTATGAAGAGGCCGAGAATCAGAGAGTTTAAGTAACTTGCCCAAAGGTGTCACCAGATGGTGTGTGGTGGAGTTGGAACCAGGTTGTCTGATTTCCAATCCAGTGCTCTCCCCACTGTCTCTTAGGAGAAAGAAGTGAGTAACAGGGAAATTGTGACTTGCTGGGCAAATTAAGAGCAGATCACTCCAGACCATCTTAATTTAGCTCTTCTGTATATAACACACATGAGTATTACTTCTTTGTTATTGTCAGAGGAGAAATGGATTTAGGCTCTGGGGTTGAGGTTTGGTTTTGTGACCTGATTAGGGGCACTATTTCCAAGGAACTGTTTGTAATTTTTCTTTTCACACATTTTAATACCATACATGTAGTTTTGCTAAGTGAATGAATAGACAAACGAAATTCATAATCTCAGCTTAATCACTCTTCCTGTTCAATTCCTCACACATGGGTTTCAGTACAACTCAGTCTTGGGCATTTTTCACCTGAAGCAATTACAAATCTATTAGTCTCGGCCTTTATTCTACAGGCTATGGAATCTGCCTCATTTATGACTGGGTAGTGACCGTATCTTCCTGCCTCTATTCTTGTATGTATATCCTGTGAAAAGTGGTCTTGAGGCTGGGATTTGCAGACCTGAAAAATTTCATTGAAATGTACCAATGAGGCCAACTTTTGCTAAGTAGGCTTTTATGCCACTGAAGCTGATACAGCTCTCAAGGTCTCAGATAAATATTCTAGGTAATGTAAGTACTCTCTTCCCTAAGTTTCACACATCCCTAGAATCGGGTCCATTAAGATGGTGAAATTGTTATCCAGATATGAAATAGTTCTATTAAAATAAGCAATATTTCAAAGAAATTCAGGCTTTTGAAGTAGA